GGGAGAGGGGCCAGCCCCAGCAGGGGTCAGGGCCTCGGGGGGGCTGGTGGGTGGAGGGGCTGGCCCCAGCGGGGGGCTGGGCAAGTGGGAGGGGCTGTTGGGGGTCCTCCCCATGGTCCCCTTCTCCAGCCCCCCAATCCCTTACTCACCAGCACCAGGGCGAGGACCAGCCATAGAGATGCTGTGGCAGCCAGAGTGTCTCCATGGAGGACCCAGCCTCCGGTTGCCTCAGGGCACAGTCCCTGCTTTTTTAAACTTAGATTTTTTTAGACCCCTGGATAAGTTTGCAGCACGGGGAACATTTTTTCATTCCTGCACGTGCTTGTTGCCCCGCCTCAAAGGGGTTTGAGGTGGGGCAGCAGGCACATGTGCGCTCGTCTGGACACGCCCTATGATGCTTTGTAGAGATACCCAAGCTAGTGCTAAACAAGCTAGCCAGAGCTTGAAGTAATTTGTTTGTCTTAGCAGGATAGCTTAGCCCACACAGTGCCCTATTCAAATCCATGTTCCATACCACTGCAGACTGCTCTGATATTCAAGCTAGTTCTAAAGACGCTCGTGCAGTACCTCCAAACCATCATGCAACGTGTAGTGTAGACATAGTCTCAGAACATTAGACAGCATCTTTCCATTTCCAAATATGTTTAACTGATACCTTTTCAATGATGGACTTTCCACAGACCTTTAACCTGTTCTATTTCTATAGACTGTCTGCACATTGCTTATAAATTTTAAAGAAAAATTACATTTTTTTCAAATACACTTTCTGTCTTAAAAAAACTATTTAAAATAATATTGAAATCAGAACAACCTATATTGTGATCTAAACTTCCTATAATCTATCAAAATTATGTATATGAAGTAAAATAATAATATAAATCAGTATATGTTTGCTGCCAAAGTTTTAAGGGAAGTTGATCCATAGATCTAACAGAAGTCTGGCTAAGCATCTAAAACAAGAATATACTGATATTCTAAATCAGATTTTGATATCAGAAGTCTTTACCAACTGCAGAGGGAATATTTTCTTGGATGCAGTTAACTCAGAATCTTCAGTTCAATACTTGGTTCATTCAAAACTGAGAAGCCAACTGATAATTAAAAAATATCAGGAAAGCTTATTTATTCATGAGACCAAATAGTGCGAGAATGAGATCTACTAATTCTAAAATCCTGAAGGGTATAGTAATCAGAAATTTCTATTCAGTTCAGTTCATTAATTATAGATAATACTTTACTTGTTTAAAGAAAATCCATTTTCTGTGGAAAACATGTTTAGACAAACAGATATAAGATATATTCCTGTTTTCAAAAAGAAAAGTATAAAGACTATGTTCTGTAGCAAGTTGAGAAGGGTTCATAGTTACCAACCAAGGACTGATCTTTCTTTAGGAAAATAAGTCGCTAAAAAGCATAAATACAAAACAAGATTAAAATTGCATATGTAATTCAAGATTTGTTTGCTGGTTTAACACATGGTTAAAATAGGAAATTTAAATTACTCTTCTTTCATTCAAAGTCCCCCATGTGTATTTTGATAACATTTTAAAGCTATTGTTTATTTTTTTCCATATTTACCTTATAGCCTAAAATGAAGTATGACTGTCAGCTTAAAATAGTTCTGTATGTCCATTCATCTTCTAATGAGAAAAAAAATGTGATAAAAGGTTGATTGTATCACAATTGTAATATCTTAACATGGTTTATAAGCCTGGCAATGGCATGCTCACATTTTACTTTTTTTTACAACTTGGTTTCAGGATTAACCCTAGGAGCTGCTTGTAGCCTTGCACTAGTGAAAGACATCTTGACAAATGCAGTCTCAGACTTGGCTCAGGAAAAGGCAAAGATCTTCCAGGCTCTCTTGTATCAGTTAAAATCTCTGGGAGGACAGCAGATCAGGAATGTTGCTGTATGTTGTCTGCTATTTGCAATAACAAGTGTGTACTATTCAGTAGCACAACTAAGGGTTGGCAAGAGGGGTACCAGGCCCAGGCACCAAAATTGTCCCCTGCCCCTGTGGAGTCCATGCCTTGGCCACAAGAGCAGCCCTGCAACATTGCTCATACAGCAGCCAGTGCACAGACAGGGCTGGAGCAGGCAGAACATGCAGCAGCAGCAGCCAGGGGCTATTTTAGTGTTCCTGCCATGGGCTCCTAGCACCCCCATCCCCCTCCACTGCTCCACTCTTGGAACTGCATGTGACCCACCTCCATTCTCATAGCTGCCCTGCCCCAGCTGCACAATTTGCCCAGGGTGCCAACCCTGCTTGTTAAGCCACTGGTAATATTTGCTGTAACAAATTAAACTAGGAAATTCTCTGCCTTCACATGAAGTGCATATTCATTTTAAATATGCATTTCAGCTTGTGAAAATTTCATTTTGGTTTATTCTTATTCTCATTATTACTATTATTATTTTAGCTGTGACGTGTTAGCAAGTGCTGATTTGATACTCTTTTTAAAATGTACATTCACAGTATATACTTACATAAACGTAATTGTTTGTGAGAAAAAGACATGAATATCTTTGGGTTTTTTTAGTCTTTAGGTGGAAACATTATAAGCAGAAAATCAACATCTGACTTGAATCCCGTTCTAGCAGCTGGCAACTGTATCCTCAATCTGGCATCAAAAGGTAAGATTCATGGTAACTGTCTCCATGTCTCCAAGAGTTGCAGGAAGTCTTGTAAGGAACAAAATTACAATCAATGATTGTTGTTTAGGAAACCTACTTCCTGGCTGCACACAAGACCACATTTGTCAGGAAGGGATGTGGAAGATGAGAACATACATGGCGACCAGCCTAGTCACCTGTATGTATAAGGCCAGGGATTTATTAAAAGCACCTTCAAAATCTTATGATTCAGGCAGTTGTACACATGACTCTTCTATTTTAATTCTGAGACAAGGTTGAGTAGACTAAATGAGTGCTTTATGCTGGAAGGGCAAGCTGTCTTTCTTAGATGGATCATCTGTATTTTGGCCTTGATCAGAATTCTTTCTTGCCTTACATATTTGTCATCACCCTGTAGAACACATTCCCCACCTAATTGTTCCTCAGCTAGGATTTGCTGAACCAGTGAATGCATGTACAACTAATTGTACACTATTACTTTTAGCATTTTTCCTGCACACACAGGTTGAGAGAAAGTATTTCTCTCAGAATGCAGCTCCATTCTAACTATTGACAATGTAAAAATGGCATCTTCTTACTCAGCTGACATGCCTCTCACAGGTATTCACTCTCTTGAGTGCAAAGAAGGAGAGTTCATTGGTTTCCATTCCTGTTAAACCTACAGAGTTAACACAGTAAGGAGAGGAATGTATTCCTTTTTGCACATCATTCACAGACCTATTTACCAGATGCCAATCAGTGATACCTTGGCAAACTCATGGAAGAAAGGGGAGCTGCACAGCTATTATTGGACCACAGGATTTTTCATGCTGGTAACGGCTGCCAAGAAAGAATGAACTCGGCTAGACTTCTGGAATTCAGGGCAAGTTCTTAGTTTGCAGCAAGGGAGTCTTTTAATATGTACACTGAGCATATTCACTGTGGACTTGTTGAGACTATAAATCAAGCCCACTGGCCATTTTCCGTATTTTTTTTCTTTTTTTACAAGATTCGTTTTCAGAACCACTCAGTAAGATGGGATCTTCATTGTTTTCTTTACTAAATATTTGCAGTTTATATTTCTACCTTTCCAAAGGGCTCTTCCCCTGATGTTAAAAAGGGCTCTTCCCTTTTATAATGGAATGGATAGTTTACAGTGCCATTCTTGAATATGGTATTTGGAAAGTAATCTCCTTAATATGGCAGTCATTGCTGAAATGTTACTTGTATCATCCAAGTTTACTTTGGATTATGAGGGAGTGTTTCAAATTATGGTTTAAGTAAAAGCAATACCAAAGGCCCCTTGGTTATAAAAGGTCTGGGAGCTGACTGAGGCCCATGAGTGCTATAACAATATAAATATTGAATAGTAAATTAAAATCAATTCCTTTAATTCTGTCTTTTATCTAGCATATGCAAAAACAAAAGATGCCACAGTTTGGTAAAAAGCCCTCATATTACTAATATACTATATAGAAATCCCAGAAAAAAACTCTCATTAATACCTCTTTATTTTGGCAGAAAATACTTTTGCTGCAAGAGATTATTTATTTCAGAGAACTTTCCCAGCAAAGAATTCTTTTCCCAATGAAAGTTGTTTATCTACGAGGAGGGAACTCTGGTATAGGTCTTCTGACATAATTGTACCAACAAGCCCTTTCTTGTATAGGCAAGGCTTATATATTCACAGTGTTTTGAGGCTAATAAATTCAGTTCAACTCCCCTTAGAGCTCTACTGCCCTCCCTCCCTTAGGCCCTTTAAAAATCTCAGATTTGACCTCATCAACTTACATTTTCAATACATTCCATTTCATTTCTATTCTCAGCACAATTCAATCCACAGAAAAAGGAAAAAAAATACAAATTCTTCCTTTGCAGAAGTAACTGCAAACATGGAGAGATAACATGTATATAAAGATCCTGCTCCTGAGGAAGCATTATGTGAACTTTTAAGTAATCCTTTTTCCCCAAGGGTTATAAGTTGTTTCTTCTCAGATGCATTCATTTTATTTATGTAAACTTTATTTGTGTTATTCCCAGTGTCCAAAATTGTTATTTCTGATTTCTCCAACAGATCAAAGACGGCAGATCCCTGTAAGTGACATCTTTGCAGGTGGAGTTAGTAACAATACCCTTAAACCAGAAGAGGTCTTAGTCTCAGTCTATATCCCTCATTCCAGGAGGGTAGGTGTTGTTGTGATGTTTGGCTTTCTTTTTTAAGAATAGTTGAACCATAATTGTATGTCATTAAAGTAGGAATACATGAAAGACATCATTTGTGATTAAAATAAAAAACCTTAGCATCTGCAGCCAGAAATACTGGCACTGGACATTGCCAATCTGGTTCAGTTGCCACATTTAGAGCTGAAAAACAGAGTGAATAAAATGCTGATGTAATAGTTCTACTCTTGCTGTGAAAACTGATGAGGTCAATGGTATTTTCTTGGGGGCAGCAGAACAGTGAAGCATGCTGGAGGACACTGCTGTACTCTCTTTCCCAGAACCCTGTCTTCTTGTGGTAGTGCTAGAGATCCACTCATTAGGCAGTTGAGGTAGCTGCTGTCTCTTGAAGATTGTGCTTAAATAGGAACTACAACAGGGGTGATCAACCTCTGGCCTATGGGCCAAAGGCAACCCATGGAGCTATGGGTATCAGGCCTGTGGAGCTCCTCATGGATTGGGAAATTTGGCAGTAGGGGGAGCAGTGGCAGTAAATATGGCCACCTTCCCCCACTGTGAAATTCCCAAACCCTGAGCCCTGTGTAGCATGTTGGGGCCAGGTCACATCCTCTCCCTCAACCCCCACAGCTGGATAAATCTGGGCCACATCCCTCCCCCTCAGGCTGCGTGTGGCTGGGCCATGGCCCCTTTCCCCTGTGGTGCTGCCCTGGGGCCAGTCCCCTTTCCCCCATGGGCTTGGGTTGGGGCTGGGCAATGCCCCTTTCCTACAACTGTCCCATGCCAGATTGGGACCATCAGCCAGATCTGACCCATAGATGGCCTGGGCATTGCCCAATTTGGCCCTCCAGACAAAAAGGTTGAGCACCAGTGAGCTACAGGATTGGACTAGTGAGAAATACATCTATGAGTATCATTGTACCCTATAGTGCACTTTGGTTGGTTCTGTTACAGTAGCAATAAATGTGATGATGCTTTGGAGCAGACAGGGCTATCCAGCTTCTGGGTGGCTGAGGTCCTCACAATGTGTGGGCTGCATGGCATGGGACTGTACACCACATGGGCCACTGGAAATCCCCACTGTGCATAGCCCCCACCACCACACTGCTGTGCCACTGCACGGGCAGATTTTGAGGCTCCTGACTTTTGGTCCCCATCTAAATGCAGGGCTGCTTTCCCCTGTACAGACTCTCCTACTGCATACCTTATGCTTGGGAGTAGGTACTAGGCCAGCTAAGTTGTGCAAATGATGGTAGCAAAGACCAGGACTGCTGGCAGGACAGAAGTGAAGAGCGAATTCCTGAAAGGTCAGAGGAAAGGGGTGAATGTGTTTAAATGTTTTTGGAGGAAATAAAATTATGTTGTGGTATTTGTTACCTTAGTTCATGCAGCTGCCACAATAGTTTTTCATTTCAGGATGTTACATTTCAAGATTGTTGATTTTTCTCAGGGGCAGTTTGTATCTGCATTCCGACAAGCTCAGCGTCGGGAAAACTGTCTCCCAATTGTTAATGCTGGGATGAGAGTACTTTTTGCAGAAGGCACAGACTTAATTCTGGATTTCAGTATTTTCTATGGAGGCATTGGATCTACCACGGTTTGTGCAAAACAAACCTGCCAAGCACTCATCGGAAGGTACTGTATGAATTCCTGTTGACTGTGTATGTCTTCTCTGAATAATTCCCCCCCAATGGATTTTACATGCCTGTATCGTGCCATTTACAGTCTATTAAATGGATCCAGATCAATCCTGATCATCGAGTCATCTATCCATTATCAAATGGCACGTTTAATATTACCATATTTTAAATATTTAAAGGTTTTGGGTGAATGTGAATGTCTTCCACAGGATGGTTACAACTGCTGAATTACCACCACCACATTTCAGTTGTCACCCAGCCCTGACCAGGAGAGACTGCTGCTAATTCCATATACGTAGGAAGAACTACCAGTCAACATTTGAAAATAACTGCCTGAGTTTCCTTCATGTACCTCCTTATACCATCTATTCAGTCACTAGTGGAGATATCCAAAGAGTTGCTAATGAATTAGTGCCAATTTTAAGAGTGGGACATTCTCAAGTGGATGCTATGGAGGGCTTCATTATGGCACTACAAGAAGAGACTGAGAGGAGATGGCTTATGACTCCTCTGATTGGTGGCTGCAGTTAACTCAAAAGCTCCAACTGTCCAGGGTGGGTTTGGGGGGAGAGGTGGGGGAGGGAGAGAAGTGTTACTTAAGTACTTCACGGGTATAGGTACTTAAAGTGGGATAATGGACTTTTATGTTTGTAAGATCCCAGAACAAAAGGCGGTCCCAGGAGAAATTGGACAAATGAGAAATAAGATGAATGTTTCTAGCCAACCAAGCAGTAGTTTAGCACCTAGGTAGATGTTATCATGCTGCCTTTCTCTCTATGCATTGCAGTGGGGGAAAGACAGATTCCAAGCTTTTGCTTGGGATATTTTCCTGTGTGGAAGGATGGAATGGGCCAAACAGGAGGAAACAACTTAACCACTAAAAAAAGGGTTTATTTCAGCTTGAACCTCTTCATATTTCAGAGCCTGCAAATCCATGGGAACCCTTTCTTCTGCACAGCATTCAAACCTGTTTTGACCCTGCACTAATAAGATTCTCATTGCCAAATTACTTGATGCGATTTAATTGTCAGCTCACCATTTATGCAACCATTTGGGTCTTGTAATTTGGAGGATTGTGGCTTTTATAATCCAACAGCTCTGTGAGCTAGAGTGGGGTGGGATTGGAATGGGGTTTTAAATTCCATACTAATTTAGATCTGTATTCAACTTCTTACCCTAATCACAGTGAAAATAATGTCTAATGTAAAGCTCTTTAAAGTCAATGGGAGACTTTGCTTTTGTTAAATGAGCTTTGGATCCTTAGTATGCTTGTCTAGTGTAGAAAAATGTAGGCATTGGTCTGGATGGTCTTCTGGATTTGTGGGGAGTGCTCTACATGTTATCAGTTCCCTTTATGTACAGAGTGCTGAAGCATGTACCTTGGTCCATAACTGTTCGGCTAAGTCTTACACATGCTTGCTGAATTGGGTCCTAAAATTGGTCATTTCTAGAACTATTTCATGCTCCTCTGCATTGCAACAACAACCAGCAATAGCTGCCTTATTGTTAAAACATGCAAACAAAGAAAATCAAATCTTCAAGAGCCTGTGCTTATATAATTTATGTTTACCTCCAATTTATCCAAGACATAAAGCTAAAGATAAATGACCCCAAAATATAAAATAATAAAAATATCCTTAGTTGAGAGAAGGATGCCTGATTTCTTCGAGCAAAGCTTTAACCTTTAATGCATCTCTTTGTATTCGGCCCTGATTTTGTTCGGCAGTTTTATTAAGCTGGTCACTGTTAATATTATTGCTGTTGCATATCAAGCTTTGCTCAAGAAAAGCAGTTAGTTGGTTTTCAGATGTGCTTAACAGAGTTAGGAGGAGAAGTCTGATGTCAGGCTATGGACATGTGTTACACGTCTAGGTGGAGAAATGCTGCTGTCCCGCTAGTAACTGCAAATGCACAGGCATTCATGTGGTTCCTCACAGAGGGAACATGGTGAATCCACAAGAAAATCTTCCACATTTGATGAGGAAGATTTTGCTTGTGCAAAAGTGTCTCATACCATAATATGGCTTCCTTCCATTTTCCAGACCAGGATCCCAATAGTCTGGGGATGACACAGAGGGCGCTTTTCCGAGGCTGGCACTCAGCCCTGGTTTGCCCACAGGGGTGAGATGTCAACTACAGACTGGAACACCTGTACCCTCCTCTTCTTGCCAGGATTTCCAGTGCTGCACTTTTTCCCAGAAATGAACACCTGTCCATACCCTTAGTCTTATACATGCCTCTTTATCTGTCCATTTTTCCAGAACCTTGATCACTTTTCTTATTTTATAATGAACCCCACTCTAGTTGTGCAGTAGCCTTTCAGAGGCAGGGTGACCACTATCATACACTTCAGATGTTGAAAAATTGTACTTCCAAATTGTGTCCTGTTAGACCATTTGACCATTTAACATGTGGGCAGTTGAAGTTCCCATTATTGTTGTCAGATTTTACTGTCTCTTGGATCTCTCTCAAAATTATTCCCTCTGGTTTTTTTTCTTGTTCTGACAGATACTAGTAAAGCTCTATAAGTATTTAGACAGCTTGGGATTTAATTCCCTCAATAGTTGATGTGTGGGACACTCCAAAAGAACAGGATTTTTAGAAAATACTGAGCATATAACCTTTGATGATTGAATCTTTTGAAAGCATCTCCAGTTGGCATCTAAAATCACTAATTTCTGAAAGTTCAATGCATTATCTAGTGTACAGTGATGCTCTACAACAGTATTTAAATGTATTTTTTAATAATAAGAAAAAAGCTGACTGGTTTTTTTTACCAGTTCTATTGTCTTTATTGAAATTAGTCATGTGAGTAATGTTAGTAGGATATTAAAAGTAGGGGTGCACTGATAAAGATTTTTGAGCCTATATCGATGGCCTATTATTAACCAGCCGTATTAGCTGATACTGATCTGATTGCTGATATGCAGCCCAGCAGCTTGGAGAGCAGCTTTCAGCTTGCAAGCCTGTTAGGGGGAAGTGTGGGGGAGGGAAGGGGCATGGGAGGGCAGATTGAGGCCCCCACCATGATGAAGGGAGTGGGCCTGGGACGGGGATGGGCCAGGCACTGCCCAGCCAGGGTGGGTTGCGGGGTGGAGCTATAAGCAGCTCGTCCAGGGGGTATAGGGAGGGGGGGCATGGCTTCCACCATTGCATGCACCCCTAGGGGTAGCTTGGGGGGTATGTGCCCCCCAGATCTGAGCATGGGGCAAGGGTAGGCTGCACCAGGCTCTTTCTGGTGGTGGGGCTGAGCTGGGGCTGTGGGCAGTGGCAGCACTGGGAGTGGGGGCTGCGGCAAATTCTGGGGTGACTGTAACCCCCCCCATAACTCCCCCTTCCAGTGCTGCCCCTACCCAGCCCGAGCACAGCCCCAACCCAACCCCCCCACCAGGAAGAGTCCAGCACTGCCCCCAGCCCACAGCAGCAGCCCGCCCTTGCCCCACACACAGATCTGGGGGGCACATTCCCCCCATGCCTCCCCCTGGGGGGTGATCACAGCAGTGGGAGCCACTCCCCCACCATGCTCCCATGTGAGCTGCTCGTAGCTCTGTCCCATGCCCCATCTGGGCAGCCCCAGCCCCACTCCCTCCGTCACTGTGGGGGCCTTGATCTCAGCCCCAAGCCCCTTTTCTCCCCACCCCTTCCCCCCAAAAGACTTACCAGCCGGATGGTGCTCTCCACTTTGCTGGGCTGCACTCCTGGCCACATTCATGCTGCAGCTGCACACATGCACACAGCATTTATCAGTGACATTATTGACTACGTCAGCCAAAAAAGTGGATTGCCAAAAAAGGAAAACTGACATTAATCGGTACTGATACAATATGGACTAATATACTGATGCACCTCTAATTGAAAGCCTTGGGGCCAGTCCTGCTCCCACTGAAATCAAAGCTCCCAGTGAAGTCAATGTGGGCAGGGTTGTACAGAGTAGTTCAAAGGATTTTGGATGATTTCTATTTAGTTCTTCTAACTTGCAGTTGACAAATTTATCTTTTATTATTCATTGTTCCAGGCATTGGAATGAGCAGATGCTGGATGAAGCTTGCAGAATGGTTCTTAAAGAAGTTTCTCTCCCAGACTCAGCCCCAGGTGGAAAGGTGGAATACAGAAGAACTTTGATTGTCAGTTTCCTTTTCAAATTCTACGTGGAAGTGTTGCAGTCATTGAAGAGGATGGTAACTTAATTCCTAGTGTTGGTTTTCATGGCATCAGTGATAAAATCTTGGCTAATGTTTGTCCTTCTAATTTATATACCACACTGACCATAATCCCTAAAGCAGTGGTTCTCAATCCTTTTACATTCAAGGGACCCCCTCGATAACTTTTCTGATTTTAGGAGCATCCTGGTTGAGAACCATTGTTGTACTGTCTCAGTTAGTTTATGACCATTTTGTACATACTTGATCTTGTATCATTGTGGTCCCTAAACTTAAATGTCTCTTCTCCTTCTCTGATATTCACACTCCAAATATATTTATACAAAGAAATCATATCCCTATAATATGACTCACCTGACAAAAACCTGAAACTTTTTTTTTTACCAGATGCTGCTACCGCTGCAGCTGGGTCAAACTGTCCTGTTCCTCTGTTTCAAAATGGCATGTTTGGAGCCTGGAAGTAGCTAGGCAGGAGTGAGCACCACTGCCTACATTAGATTTACCTAGTTTGGCTTATTACATGCAAACTGATTTAAGAGCTAATTTGTGAAATCGGTTAGATCCTGTTGGTGAGCTGTAGAGAGAATTGCATTCAGATTTTCTCCTTTCCAATCAAAATGAATGGGATGATGCCTAAAGCTAATGAGGGAAGCACAAATGCTCCAGAAGTGCCCTATACACACAACTTTAAATCACCTCACACAGTTAAAAAGAACATAAAGAAAAGGTTGCAGTCTCTGACTGGACACCTACAAACCCAGTTTGCAGTTCGAGAGGCAGTATTATTACTCAGTCTTCTTGCTCATTACCACAGGCAGCAAAAATTCTGAGCCAGGTTTGTTCATCTCTCAAAATAAAGCTGGCCTCTTTCCATTGCTTTCTTTCTAACTGGTCTCCTGAGGTCCTTGTACTGTTTTAATACGGTTTTTAAATAAGATTTTATGAATGCTTAAAACTCTTTACTGCATTTTCATGCTTCATTTCTAATTTAGTGGGAAACTTAAAGGAATTATTGTAATACTAAGGTTGAAACTAATTGGTTTGTTTTTTAACAAAAATGTTTGTTACATAGAAGTGTGACTTTTAACATTACTATAATGCCTCGCTTTCAGGACCTGCATCAATGGCCTGAGATACCAGAGAAATATGGGAGTGTCCTGCAAGAGTTCTCAACCAAAATGCCCCAGAGTATACAAATGTACCAGGTCAGCAACTTTATTCTAAACTTATATGCATTTCAAAAGAAAATGGTTAAAAAATTAGGGTTTGCAAAGAGTCCAAAGCTATGAGGGTCAGATACAGATATTAAAAAAAAAATCAAGGCTGCAGTTGTTATTTTAGAATTAGTAAATGACAGGTACCTGATTGATACAGTGGAAATAATCAAGAACATTCAAGGACAGTTCAGCAATAGAGGGCAGAAGAGTCCTTTTTTCTATCCTTGCCCTTGTATAGATAAGAAGGGTGGCTAGAATTGGTCAGGAATCAGTTTCCTCCCTTTGCAAGAAATTTTGAGAAAAATTCTTGTTGCTACAAATGAGACAGACAATCATTCCCAAATGTTTGCAGATCATGAATCTTAAAGTGGTCAATTATAAATCAGTTTTTACTTGATTTCTTTCAAACTCTTATTAGATATTAACTTGAAATTTAAACTTGTTTCCAACAAACAAATTGAACTTTTCATTTAAGCATTTTGAAATAGGCCATTTAAATAATCTCAGGTCTTTTTCAATTTGTTTTCAAAATGGAGAAATCCACTGAAATTGACTCTTTGCTATGAAAAACTCAGCTTTGACAAATCAGCATTATCTAATGAGAAATTGATTTAAAAAAATCCTGAGCAACTGCTGATTATGATATAGCCTAGGACTATATCCTAACACAGAAGAAATGGGAAATAATGGAAATTTGATAACATTTCTATTGAAATATTTTGTGCTGTAATCTTATACTAATATTTGTTGAGTTTGATCAAAGACATAAGAGTGGGAGAGACATTTGGAAGCCTGTGTAATTGGTGGGAAGAGATGCTGAAATTTAAAATGAGCTAGGGCAGTGGTGCTAAACCTTTTGGCCAGTGGGCCAGATGGGCAGTACCCAGGCCATCCATGGGTTAGATCCAGCTGAAAGTCCCAATCTGACATAGAGCAGTCATGGTAGAGCCCCATCTAGCTGCTCAGAGTGGGGTAGAGGGCATTCTGGCTCCAACTCCACTCCACCTTGGTGGCGGGGGGGAGGAGGGAGGGAGAGAGAGTGACCCAGCCCCAACCCAGCCTCATGGGGGGAAGGGGTCTCAACCCAGCCCTGCAGGGGGGAAAGGGGGCTTGAGCTGGTCCCAATCTGGCCCCACAAGGGAAAGGGGGTGTGACCCAGACCCATCCAGCCCAGAGGGAGGGGCATGGCTTAGCCTCATCCAGACATGGGGGTGGAGGGAATGGGCATGACCTAGCCCCAACTTGCTGTGTGGTGCTCGGCGTTTGGGAATTTGGCAGTAAGGGAGAGTGGCTGTATTTATTACCACCGTTATTCAGTCGCCAAATTTTCTAGTCCTTGGGGAGCCCCACAGGCTGGATACCTGTGGCTCTGCAGGTCACATTTGGCCCATGGGCCAGAAGTTGATCACCCCTTAGCTAGAGAATAAGTAAAGTAGAGAGATACAGGAAGGTGGATCCAGGTGGCAATAGCTGCAGGGAGATGGCTCTTATTTCAGTGGTGATGAAGGAACAGAAAGAACTCAGTGCTAATCTGTAAACTTGGAAGAGCACGAGAGAAGAAATGGGTGGGAGGAGTGCAGAGTGCATGGAGTTTCTATTGTGATGGTGGGCTACTGTTAGTAAATCTTAAATTAGTATATATACTTGTGAATTATAACAGGAGAGTTCGCTGGCATAACACAAATTTAATTGGCATTGTACCTTATTCTTGCTGGTTTAAGGTAAAGCAAAATTGGGTACAATAAATAGTATGCTACTTTAAGGTCAGTTTTCTATCAATAATGTAGAATGATGCCTCTTTGGTAAAAATGCAGTGGTGTGCAGAAGTGAGGAACAAATTTGAAAGTTAGGACAACAGTGCCTGGTTGAAGTAGGACTCTATAGCAGCAGAAAAATCCATTGTATTTTTCTATATATAAACAAATCCAGATCAGAGTCAGTATGTCATGAGTATTTCCATTACCACAACATGTTTGCAATAAGGAAAATCTTGAAGACTTACTTTTGCTTTAGACAGAACCAGTTTCCACAATACCTGCATAATTATATGGTGTAGGAAAAACCAGTCAGAACACCATGTCACAGAAGGAATAGCTTTCCTTTTGATAGCATTTCACAGAAAGCACAGAGCCCCACTTGTTATCTTAGTAATTCACAAGGTTCTAAAAGTTTATTTGTAGCTAATGATAAGATATTGGAAAATTTCAAGATCCTAGCAACATTTTTAGCTGTGTTGCAGAAAATATGATGAGTAGCTGTTCTTAAGCTGTACTTAGGTTCGTGTTAGGAACAATGAAGATTCCCATACTGGAGGGATTGGTGCGATACATCTTTTCCAGCACCCTGACAGTGGCCAGTTCCAGAAGCTTCTGAGCATGGTGCAATACATCTTCTAAAAGGAAGATAAGTGATAAATCACCCTCTAGGAAAGTAGGAGATTAAAGGTGGTGTAACAGGGGGCACACTCGGGGCCAGCTCTCATGCTGGCTCACCCACCTGTTTCTATAGGCGACCGCCCACCTCCTTGCCTGCCACGCCTTGGTGGTGTGTGTGTGTGTGCATGTATGTGTGTGTCTATCATAGAATCGATGAGTCGAAAGGGACCTAGACAGATCATCTAGTCCAACCCCCTGCCA